ATATTGTCCTAAAAGTGTACGAAATATTACATTTATCTCTAAGCAAATACACAATGGGGTGAACCAAGTATTAACCTAATTTAAAACAGGAGTTGAGGGACAAATTCAAGTGTTGATTGCATGGAAAAAAAGACTTCACTTAAGTAATCCATTAACTTATTCAGAAGGCCTTACTGCTCCTGGGTACCAGAAAAATCCCTTGGGTAAATCAGAAGGGCAGCAGCCAGGACATTATGCATTTTACTATCACCTTACAGATATAACAGCTCAAAACTCACTACTGACTTCAAATTGACTCCTCCATGAAATCCAAATGTGGATGAGGGTGAACCCTATTTGAATTGTGACCCCTCCCAATTTAACCCAAAATGTATCCCAGTAACTGACAAGGAATGAAAGACACAAAAACGTTAAGTTGAACGCAGCAAAGGTCACAACCATCCTGTGAGGGCACAGAAAGGAGGCAACATCTTTGCTGCAGTTATCCGAAAATACAGAAATAATCAACAATCAAATAAAACTCCTACACTCACAGAAGATATTTTAAAAATATTTCCTTATTGATAGGATCAATTTGTACTAACTAGTTAAGTCCCACCCACACTTACCCAGTGCTCACAAAACTAATTGATCAACAGACTCCAAATAACAGGAATTACAAACAGCATCAACACAACCATGTTGCTGTTAAACCATTTCTGCACCCTTTAAATTTATGGTACCTTGAGTAGGAGGGCTGATAAAAGCAAGTTGTGCAGTCACTGGGGCAGAGAAGATAAGCCAAGTACTGTTAGTAGTGGCATATGAGTCATTGGTAGCCACCACTAACATAAAACCAACCATGTAGAAGCATTTAAAAAGTGACAGTGAAGGCAGACAAAGCTAAAAATGTTCAGAAAAATATGCTTTAGAAATATGATTTCCCTGAGAAACAAGACAACACTGCATTAGGAAGGCTCATCGAGATTAAAACTACAACCACAAGAAACAGCGGACATCAAATGTAAATATCATTCGTATCTCACAGTAAAGGCATATTATTTCACTACTACAGCAGCGATGTGTTCTGCATTTCTGTCTCGCTCACCCTCAGAAAGCAACGTGACAGGCTCCTACCTCTTCCCTTACTTGTCTTCCCTTCAGACTGTCAGGCTTATCGTTACTCAATTCCCTTTTCCAATCTTCTGCTGTTGCCTCTTCCTTCCCTCCTCCTCTACAGTAAACAAAGATATACTCAAGAGGGTAGTTTAGATTCGTAGCCACTGCTACAAAACTATACTACAGGACTATAATAATCATTCAATATCATTAAATTTCTAGAATAAATTTCCATAGAAAACTCCTTAGATGTGATGGACCTAAAACTGCACAGATTTTAGCCTGCTGACTAGAACTTTCAGAATCATTGAAAACGGTCACTATAAGCAGGGTATTCATTCCCTAATCTGCAGATTTTAACGTAATTAACTTTCTTTTGTGGTGCTTTTGTGGATAAGTAGGATTCAGATCTATGAAAGTGCTCTCACAGTAATATAAACTGGTAACTTTTAAAGGCTGCAATGCACATTCTAAGTAGAAGTGAAACTCAGGAAGACACAGATTCTGAGCCATTCGTAATAAGACAGATGACATACAGAGCATCTCTTAAACAAAGGATCACTAAAACAGACAAGTGAAAGGAATAAGATAGTTACTATAGACAAAAAAAGAAAAGATCAGGAGAGTAACATACTATCAGATGGCTGATAAATTGTGTTTGAAATCTGTCAGTCGCACTCCTATTGCATCTAGAGAATATTACCGTCTTAGAAGGGACAACAGAAAATCACGGAGCAATTTGTAGGGCAGCACTAAGCAAAAACATAAAATCAGACAGTTAGAGAATGCTTCTCTAGCTCGATTTATAAGGAATAGTGAACACTTTCAAGTTAAAAAAAGATCTAATATATTTTCAACTTCGAATTCTTTTGGCATCCAACAAGAACCATCCCTGTATGAGCACAACAAACCCTGTATGAAGGCTTATTTCAGTGATATACAGTGAACATCTAGTGACAATTATCTAATGCAAGTTAGTTAATTGAAACCACGTAACAAGGTGCATTCTTTTACTCACTCTGGCAATAGCTTCTGTGCAACTACAACTAATCTGACAATGGATTAGGATTATTTTGCAATAAAATCCATATCTTGAAGATAAATTAGAATAATCGTAGAGAGCTTCAGCATGAAGTCAAACCTGACATGCAGCTAAAATCAGACTTAGTTCTCATTCAGTTGTAAATGCTTTAACACCAATGAGGCAAAACAGTTGCATGCTTAAAACTAATAAAATGAAGTATCTTATTTATCAAAAGAATCTGGCTGTGTTCCCCTTAGGCTGTACCAATGTTAGCAAGCACTGTGATCCAACAGGAACACAACATATATAATTCAGAGAGGTTCACTTCATTATAGCTCTAACCTGGTCTTGTGGTCTGAATAGCCTTAAAAGCTGGAGTGCATAAGGTGCAGCTTTGGAGCCCATTATCAGATTTATTTTCATCCAAAAGAACTCAGCGTGCATGTTCTGAAATTGCCCTGCAACATCAACGGAAGCATCGTTAAATGGAAATGATGTGGAAGTTTCCTTCCAAAGCACACTCTTAATGTAAAATGAAATAGCAGCGCAGACATCCGTGGAGCTGCTGTTTTCACATTCAGGCAGCATCCAGAGAGCAAATATAACAAAACCACTCCTTACCATTAGCATTCTAATTGCAAAACCGCAACAGAAGCGATGGACGTCCCCATCTGTGGAAGGTTGAGTCTCTGCGCTCTGCGCGACAACCTCGATCTTCATTGAGTGAAAAGGGGCAAAATCTGTTCTAACTTCTGCAAAAGAAAGAATAGAGATATTTTAGCTAGAAAAAGAAGAAAAGGAAAAAAAAGCTTACTGAAATTATATGAGCCAAAAGAGTTATATATGTCTGAAACCAAACTATTAAAAGCAGATGACTGATTTTATTCTCCCAAACTGTTCAGCTAAGCCTAAGTCATCTGCTTCAGATGCTAGTAATATACAGGTTAATTTGTAACTGAGATTCAGCTTCAGGTGCTTCTTACAGGACACAAACATTTTAGGAGAAAAAGATATTTCCCCCATGTCCCTGGTTACAGGTGAAACAAGTGAGGAAAGAATTCCAACAGTCAGGAATGGTTCTTCAACAGTTTTCTTTCAGTCTTAAGAGCTCCTTCTAAAAATAATCAGAACTATGATACACTTTCTTGCTATTTTATTAACACAAACATTAGATGCAAAGCTATAGGTGAAAGGACAGGCACCGACACACTTGTCGGCTAGCTATGTTAACAATTCTTTGTTTCCTGTGGATGTTGTCATGACTCACCATCCTTTTGCAAGGATTTAAGAGAGAATTTTCTCTCAGCACCTTACACTCAAGTCTCACACTGCAATAACCACATGCCCTCTACTGGCAGATACTGTCTGTTTCCATCTATTTGATGCCCCAAAAGCATTTCCTCCTAATAGGTCTCTTTCCTTCCATTATCTGATTTTAAAAGCTTTTCTCCCCTCACCTACCATGCAGGTGAGTCTTGATGTGAATCAATGAATCTCAGACTGAAGCACCTGAATCTCTTGAAGAAGGAAAACAAACCCCAACTAACAGAGTGCCAGAGTGTGCCATGGCTCCCAATGGACTACAGAGATTAAGTTTACCAGATTTGGAAAGAAAGTAAAATAAGAAAGTGAAGCTGCATGCCCTAGAAGTAATCTCTTCATACAATACCATAAACTCAAAGTGAGAGAAAGGGTTTGAAACTAAGGAAACACTTTTATTGTGGTAATGAACAGCTTTCAGGGTAATATAAGGCAAGAATTTTTACTTGAAATGTTATCATTAATGTGCAGCAGTGCATTAGTTTTACTAAAAACATTAGATGGTCAGAAATGTTCTGAAGGTTGCTGTTTAGCTGTGAGAAGCATGCAAGACAGGACAACAGTTGCCCCTGTAAAAGATCCAAGATTATCCAAACACATAACACAAGATGCCTAGTGATAGCTACTGGAATATCATATGTATTTCTAAAGAGTCTTCTGGCATATTATATCACTGTCATTTTGAATCACAAAAACACTGGAAGCATTTCATGGTAATGACCCAAAATACTGGCGCAATACTTGCACCCGAAGGTTTTGAGGCACAAAACATCTTTGAAAGAACCCTTTTACTCCCCTGTACATGACAGGCCCATCCACTTGTTTGTTTTTCCTTTCCTTTGCCAAGTACTGGTTGCTGCCTGAAGGGAAATATGGCAGCAGGCAGTCATGATCTCATATGTCCCAATAAACCCTGCTTTCCCAGATATTTAGCAGAAGAAGCATAAAGAAGTGCAATGCATTACACTTCAGTCAAAAGTCGAGTATTAAAAAAAGAAAAAAAAAACACGAAATAAAACAAAGCAGCTCATATGCTGCTTCAGTCAATAGACAGCATTTCTTTCCTGAGAAATGCAAAGCAGTTATTTTGGAAATCCAAAGATTTTAACAAACACTACAGGCATATAGGAAGGAAAAAGGGTAAGTAACAGAGACAAAAGCTTGCAAGTGCTTCCACATGCACTGAAAGTTTTTTTTGTGTGTGTGTGTTTTGGTTAGAAATTTGCAAGGAATAAGCCTTAGCATTGGTCAGCCAAGGCAATATCAGAGATAAAAGGTCTATCAGCCAAAGTATCCAAAACTAAGCTTCAATACCAAGGTCATCAAAGCTTTGTGATTTCCAAGCAAAAGAGTTTCTGCTGCATGTCTGTTTTGACTTGTGATGTAGGCTGTCCTGGCAAACAGTCCAAGCAACCAGCCTCATTATAAAATAAAGCTACTACAAGGGCTAATTTGCTCATTCACAGGACCTGCAAGGGGATTGTGAGGTACCCACAGAGGCTGAATATATCTTCGAGTTCGGAAAACTCAGCCTCTTTCCACCTTTGTCTCTATAAAGCAAAGCATAATCTCTTGGAAAAGATGGTATCGGAAACTCTGAATCTAATGCAGTACCTCACCAGCCTGGTACCAGATGTGATGCCAGTGGCCACAGTGCCCATACTCCTCGTCATGTGCTTTCTCTTTCTAATTTGGAATCATGAAGAAACATCATCAATACCAGGTAAACTAACCTTGGCTGTGTATCCCCCAGGAACTGCTAAACATATCGCCTGTTTCTCAAATTTACCTGAGGAAGGAATGCTGAATAATAATTGCATGTCAAGGAAATTTAGTAAATCAGTTTAAATAACTTTTTTTTCTTAAACATAACTGGTAAAAGAAAAATCTAACATGTTATATTTAAACTCAGCCCTTCCATAATAAAGGTAGCTTGACTGTATAAAAATGACTTTTTTTTTGGCTTTATTGCATATATGCTAGAAAAAATATGATATCATTTTAACTAAGTCTAGTTCATATTTTCATATGCATTTTGGACTTCTACTTTCTACATGTTGTACATTTAATCCTTTCCAAACTGTCTTTGCTGACAACAAAGAGTAATATCTGGGAAATTATTTGGATTTTATCAAGTTATCAATTCTTCTCCCTCTGTTTGGTACTGAAGATGCTCCATAACGGGAAAACATCAAATGATTTCCCATTGAGAGGGGCATTTCTGGTTTTTTTTTTTTTTTTTGGGGGGGGGGGCGGTTATGGAAAGTATGACTGATTCAGCCTATTCTCCAACAGATGCAATACAATGATCTACTGCATAAATGAGAACAGCACGCGCACCCTGAAGTGATGTAAGTCAGGGATAATCCTAGTCAGTAATTTCAACCCAGTGTAGTAGCACATGAATAAAATTCATGTGAGAGGAAATAATTTCCAAGTATCCTTCAATATGCTATAATCTTTGTGAAGTTAGAGAAGAAAAAGCAGTCTCAAAAGGTTGTGCCTTCTGCCTGAATGTTTGATAGGTTCAATAAGAAAGAACAAAATTTGCCTTAATTCTACAGGTATTTAAACAAGCCTGGGTTCTTCTGATTCTTAGTAGTAAAGGTAGAATCTTAAGCAGTTTACAAATCTTTTAAATAATATTTTGTAGGCACTTTATTTAATGGAGATAGATGTATGTTTTACATACGCCATAAGGGACAAACTGAGCAGGGAAGAATGAAAGACTCCTAAAAAGAATTCTGAGACTACACAAATTACCTTTCCTCCCTGTCATAAGAGGGAAATTTGATGCTCAGACATAGCAGAAGCAGCTGAGAACTTTGTTGAACAAATGCATATTATTGCATTCTTAGTTCCTACTTTAGCATGCTGTTTTCATAAATTCACAGGACTAAAATGCATTTTCCTTTAAATATCTATTTTTTCTTTCTGTCATCAATTACCAGTAATTAAGAGAAATGTAATTAATTTACCTATGGCAAAAGGATATTGACTTCTGTAGATGTTAATATGGCAGTCAAGCACTAATTCAGCCCAGATTGCTCAAAGAATTCATTAGTCAGAAAGGAATAAACTATGTGCATTTTTTCAAGATAATTTCTTCTTTCTGGTATCTAGCCATTATCTCTTCAAAAGCAAGTAACCTGAAAGCAGCACTTTGAGTTTGCACAAAGAAACACAGAACACAGTGTTTGTAGTGTGCACACTGAATAGACTCTAGACTTCCATGGATATGAGGTTTCAACAGCATAGATGCAATTTCTTTCCAGGGCAGAACAGACTATTTTACGTAAAGTGTCTAACACAGACCTTGATTGTAATGTAAAAAAGTTCTTTGAAAAGGGTGACGCTCAGAGACACATTCTTGTCACGGTGCATTGGTAAGATCATAATTTTATTATCCTATTTCTTAGGGCCTGGATACTGTATGGGCATTGGCCCCCTCATCTCACATGGCAGATTTCTTTGGATGGGAGTAGGTAATGCCTGCAACTATTACAATAAGACATACGGAGAATTTGTGAGAGTTTGGATCAGCGGTGAAGAAACATTTATAATTAGCAAGTAAATATTTTTCTCTTTAATAATACAAAGAGTTTTCTCATATTTTACAGCCTTTTTGCTATACTTTCTAAAGCAGAATTAATATTATTATCAAGAATCGCATAAAATCTTTTACTTTCTGCTACTCACAGATCTTTTTCTGAACTTTTAGTCCTTTATAATCAGCCAAATTTGAAGTCCATATGAATTCTCTCATTTTGTTAGTGGAATGAAAGACCAAGGATTGTAGTCTCAATCCCCCACCAGATATTTAATATCTCTTTCACTATTCCATGTTATATTAGGATTACACACAATAGAGGAACCTAGACTGATTGACTGCAGTGCAGGATTAATCCAATTTTTAGTTTCCTTTTAGGTTCTCCTTAAAGGTAGAGTAATGCCTGAAGATTATGAAAGTGGATATGAATAATTCCACTGCAATTAAAGCTAATCACAGATTTTGATTAAAAACAGATTTAACATAATTATGTCATGAACAAAAAAGTAACTGTTTTCGAGACATAACAGATAAAAATCACTATCTTTTTACTGAGTGTATCAATCCATATTCAGCTATATTATATAAAAGAACATATGAAAAACAATGTAGTACGGAACAGGATTTGGGCGAGTCAGCTTCATCTCTGTTTTTACCTCTATAAAAGGAGGCAATCATGATAGGAAAGCTTTACTCTCCCACTCTACATAGGTTTTATAAAGATTAATTACTTAGTGTCTGCATAATATTTTGATCATAAAAACACTGAAATAATAAAATGTAATTTAACACTTAATGTATTAAGTGCCTACCAACTCACCAGGAATGCTGGTTAAAAAAGAATAATAATAGTAATGCAGTGGACACATCAGACTGTGGTCAACACATTACAAGGTCATACCTCAGAATCATTCCTTAATACTCTATTAATACTGTCTCCTCTGTAAATATGCACTGTATATGGACTTTTCCATTCTTAGGATGGCTATCATAATTCCAGGCCATATTTTTCTGATCAGAAAATGCTTTATTAGATGATGTTCTTTAATGTCCAAACACCTTTCAGACAGTTAAAAAGGAAGCAGATGTGTGGTAGTATAACTAAAAAGCGAATATGCTCTGCCCCTTGGCAGGCTGGAGCTGCAGGCACACCGCTCTCCACTGCTGCTCTAATCCCTCCTCCATGATCATTTGTATTGCTTAGTATCTTGGCATTAATTGATCTCTGTTGAAGCTAAACTACAGTGAAATCCTGGCACTGGTGAAGTCAAAAGCACAGTTCCCACTTACTTTTCCGGTTAAATTAACCTGGAATAACAAATCTGGATTTGGTCCATAGAGTATGCAATATGGTACAGCAAGCAGGACACTGTACAATTTTAATGCTCATCTGATTTTATTTCCTTTTGTTAGCTTTAAACAGATCACCATTAGATTAGCAGTTCTAAGCTGCTATCTCCCTTTAAAGGAAATGATATTTTAAAATAGCAGTGCTGGACAGCGTTTAAATGAACTTGGTCAACTGAAAAAGAGAGAAGTAGATATCCTGAATTCCCCTACATTTCCATTTTAGGATTATTTATGCCACACGCTTAGTATTATAAAGTTTATTTTTCAATTTAATATTTGATTAATGTATGAATAATTCTATTTGTTAATATTATGATGCTGCATAATAAATGATGCATGTATATTTGTTCTTTCTATATGCTCCTGAAAGTTAACAGCTTAAAAAAAAAGTATAACCAAAATTTAATACACATGATAAAGTCCATTATCAACTGTCAGATTATTTAAAATCAAAGAACTCTGAAGTTTTATATAACATAAATACTGAACATATCAGGATGAACAGAATTTGTCTGTGCTTTTAAAAAACTTGAGGGAAAATGAGGAAGCATATTCCTTAAAATATACCCAGTTCCTGCCTATAAGCAAGAAAAAGAAAATTGTTTAAGGAAGTAACAGATGTCATTCTTGGATGAGATATTTGCATCAAAGTTCTATGTACGGATATGCATATGTATCAATATGCCTTTTCTCAAAATATTTGCCAGGAATATGGGGAATTGGTAGTAGATAATGTTTAATACCACCTCTGCAAACGTTAGAAGTTAGTTGGGAAATCAACTGCACTGTTGGCATAAAAGAAATAGAAGCCTATATAAACATTAAATACATCATCTTCAGTTACACTCCATTATCATTTACACGATATATGTATCAGACCTCACCTTTAGTTCACAATACAGGCTGTAATTTTCTATAGCAGTGGTTCTCACCTGGGGGGTACTTCTCTCATGTTTTAGAAAGTACACTAACTGTCAGGAGATTTGAATTCCCTATGGCTGCCAGAAACTTTCACATATATTAATGATGATATATATATGTATATATTTTTAATCCCATTTCTTTTCCAGATCCTCCAGTGTGTTCCATGTAATGAAACATTGGCACTATGTTTCTCGATTTGGGAGCAAACTGGGATTACAGTGCATTGGCATGTATGAAAATGGGATAATATTTAATAATAACCCAGCACACTGGAAGGAAATTCGACCCTTTTTCACCAAAGGTAAATCAGCATGCACTAATATACTGCACCACTTTAGCATATAGTCCACTTCATAGAAAACACTGTTTCTTCTTTTCCTAGTTAAATTATAGAAAGTGGATCTCAGAAATATTTTATTGTATGTATTCTTTTGCACTTATTTTGCTTAGTATGTTATTTAAATTGGTCTTGAAATAGTTTTGCAGATTTTAAATGCATTCCAATTAAAACTAAAGTTTGAATAATCCCCATCGTTTCAAGTGCTTTACTTTTAACGTCTAGCATTCAAGATTAGATTAAGAGACACTAATCCAGGTGTCTCTGACACTTCCCATTCCAGCTTCAGATGAGTTCAAACAAATTTCTCTCGTTCTAACTGAAAAAAATGCTTACAATTTGAAAACGATTTTTAGTTTAGCGCTACAGCACTACTTATTAATCCATTTAATACACTAGGAATTAATGTAGTAACAAGACTAAATAAGAAATAAAAAGATTATTCCAACATATATAATTAATTAGAACTTAAATAAAGAACTAGATAACAATTGCGGTGTATTATTTAAACTTGTAATTTCTGGACTCACCTGGGAGTTTTTCCTTAAAAACTGCCCCAACACTTTGTTGTTCTGCAAACTTCACAGTTCTGAAAAAAATTATCATCAGCTGAAGTAGCAGTAGTTTATGATAGCAGATCCGTAACCTGAATAAGAGAAATTAAAATGGATAAAGCAAAGGCTTTAAGATCTTAAAAATAAGATGTGAAAGAAAAATAAAACTCTACTGTTTAAAGTTTTCCATATCATTTTGTTGTTGTCTGGGCTTCTGTTTGACACCTACATCTTTCCTATTGGAGTTTGTTTTTGAAAAATATAAGAAATTTTGTGCTGATGGAAGACAGGAAAAAAAAAACACAAAAAAAACCCCCAAACTCTTTTCTACCCACTCCTGGAACGGTCAGTTCTCTTCTATTTGCAACATTGATTAGCTCAGTTACAAACACAAAATACTTCTCTGTATATATTTGCTAAAATAATATCCATGAGGCAACTACAGCAATTTTTATACAGAAGAGGAATTTAAATTGAGTATTTAGGGCAACATTCCCAAAATTACCCAGTAACTGTCTAAACCTATTCCAGATGGAGTCTATCATAACATCCCACCAAATTAAACAGCAGAAGAACTGATCACTTTTTGTTGTTGTTTTTAAATTCTCAAAATGTAAAAAGCCCACCATGAAATTATCTCCATTGTCCATAGGTGGCCATAGTTGGCCAAAACACAACATACTTCCAGGCCAGGCTTCATTACATCCATGTGGATGTAATGGATAACCCAAGTAGATCTACACTCCACTTAGACTACAGTGCTTTACATTTCCTTGGCAACATTATTTTCAGTAGGTAGGTTACTAGAAAGGTATGCAAATCCATCAGTCTTTTGATCATTTTGCATATGTTCCAGCTCTATCCGGTCCCGGTCTTGTGCGTATGATAGCAATTTGTGTCAAATCAACAATTGATCACCTGGACAAACTGGAGGAGGTGACTACCGAAATGGGAAACATCGACGTGTTGAATCTGATGAGACGGATCATGCTTGATACATCTAACAAGCTGTTTCTAGGGATCCCTTTGGATGGTACTGAAGCTTTATGCATATGGCTTGCCATGAATCTAAAGTGCAAATGCAAGGAAAACTTCTCTCTCGCATCACGCAAAAATTTACTTTCAAGAAACAGCATGAGCAGGCTCTGAGATTGTCAAATAAGTGAAATTGATTTAATGTTAGATGATTCTAGTTGTAAAAGAGAATTTTATGTGATCAAAAATACATATTCAGCTTGTCACATTGAAGTAAATACTAGCATCTACGGAGACGTTTATGCACCGATTCGGTACAATCCCAGCATTATATGCATGTAAGAACCAGAAATCTTTCCAACTAGTTAAATGCCTGCTTTGTTCACCTTACAGTTTCTCAGTCTTCTATTCTTTTCACATTCTCAAAAAGACTTGAGAGAATTAATCTTATCATGAGATGTAGACTGCAACATTTCAAGATGCTGCAACAGAATTTTTCTTCTTCTGCACCCCATGGGAGGATTAAGCTCTGCTTGTCACACCACTGTCTCCTTTCAGGTGCCTAACATGGGTTTTTACTAAGAGCTGTACTTTTTCTATAGTGTGCCACAAATGTTTCCTATCCTTATCTACCACATATTTAAACAAAATGTTTATCAAATTCTCATGTGCTTACTGAAGGTAGGAAGTAGTTTTCCTGAAGCATTTGTGTTATTTGGCTATTAAAATTTATATTTTGCACTGTTCTTTATTAACTTCTATTTTCAGAAAGTGCCATCGTGCTTAAGATTCAGAACTACTTTGATGCTTGGCAAGCACTTTTATTAAAGCCTGATATCTTTTTTAAGATTTCTTGGCTGCGCAAGAAATATGAAGAAGCAGTGTAAGTATCAGCAGTTTTACAGATCTTTTGAGTAGATTGTTTCTAGAAGAACCTTAATATTTTGCTCTCTTTCTTTAGAAAATAAATGAACTAGGAAACTTGCAAAGGAGGCTGGCTAAAGCCCCCTTTATCTGCAGGTCCAAGACAGCAACAGAACAGGATTTGCTGCTGGTGCTACAAGTGGCTAATCTAAGAGAATGAGTTAAAGCCTTTCCCTATTAAGTCCAAACTTACTCATCAAAATATTAGCTAATGCAACTTCAAATATTAAATCAAATTCAAATAATAGGTTCAATTCAAACAAGCAAGGAAAAGTCACCTTATGGGATAAAATTACATTTGCTACCTAGCCAAGGAGAGTCAAATGTAAAGGTAGGCATGTAGATTCAGAAACAATTTATCCTGAAACAGATTATCATGCTGAACATCAGGCGTTAACTCAAAAATGCATACTGCAAACAACACTAAGCAGAATTACATCAAAGTGTTAACTCTCCTTTGTGAGAGTATCATTAAGTGTGATTTCTTGTTTCCAAAGTTTTTCTTATATATGGAATTTAGTTATCCATCTTCTACCAAAAGAGAACTGGCTATAAAAAGAAATGGCAATCATTTTGTTCACTTTGGCGTATTTTGAGAAAATACTTGGTATAAAGCATGTATACCAAATTGTTTGGACATGACTATCTAACATTGGGTATTTAAGAAAGAGAAGAGAGTGTATTGAAAGTAAAGTATAACTCTTTTATAAACAGGATTTACCTTCTCTCCCTAAAATTTCCTATACTATGGAAATAATCATTGCTTTATCCTGTGCTTCTAGTATTACCTAACTCTATTTGTCCATTTATAACTAGAAAGCTTATATGCTTTATATATGCTTATATTTATGTTTCAAAAACAATCACTTTAAAATAGACCTATTAATAAATTTCTACTGAAAAAAAAAGTGAAGGAGAATCACAAATGCTGCAACTTGGAATAGGTTGCTGATAAAACTGGGAAGAAAGACCCTTCCCTATTTCCAATGGATAAGAAATGAGATATTTCAAATGAGAACCTTACCAGGTTTGATGTTTTAAATGTACTTACTTTCTTAAAGCCAAAGTTTCCAACTTAGCAACAAAAAAGCACAAGAAATGAAAAACCTGAGGACAAAATACTTATGACTATATAGACTAACTATACTATCAATTAGTCCATATAGACTAACGGATTAAACCTATCAATGTTTTCATTTCTGCATTTTTTTCTAACAATTATCTTTCATATTCTCTATTATCACTAAGTGATAATAAAATGCAGTAACCAATCTTAAACAACTTCTATTTACTAATAAGACGTGCATTCATCCCTTTTGACATAGCCCATTTAAAAAAAAAAAAAAAAGTAGAATATGGCTTCTCTCAGTATAAAGTGAAATTCCTTGTGAAACATGTTTTTTCAAAGCTAAGACAGATCTTTGACTTTTACTGTACTGCTCCTCTTGCTCTTTGCTGGAATATCTGCAGTTACATGACCTGCAATTATGTCAGTTGTGTTACACAGCAATTCAATGTTCACATGACTTCACTTAAGAGCAGCAAACACTTTTTTGAACACCAGAGGCAATCTGCCTTGTTTTAGTGTCACATAGCAATTCTTAGAATACCATTTCTTGCATTCATAGAAGTTTTTATTGGTATAATCTCTTAGTTTATGCTCATATTCTAGCACATACTGAAAGCCTGCAAATATTTATCAGTATGGATTTTATCCATTTTCAGCAAAGACTTGAAAGGAGCAATGGAAATCTTAATAGAACAGAAGCGACAAAAGCTCTCCACTGTTGATAAGTTAGACGATCACATGGACTTTGCATCCCAGCTGATTTTTGCACAGGTATTGGCAATGAACTCCAAACACTGATAACTTTGAATTTCTAACATTCACCTGTCAATAAGAACACACTAAGTTTAAGTTGCAAAACCTGTATCTATCTCAGAGTCCCGTCATCCTTAAGAGATACAAATTTATCAGTTCTGGGAACACCCTAAGAGCAATTCAAACATTGAATAGTTGCATCTTTGGGAAGAAGTGGTTTTCTGATTTTTATTTTTTTATTTTTTAAATGGCTTAAATGGCTATTATGGCTTTTATGGCTTAAAAACCCATAAAAACGGCTTATTTAGGAAGCCTGTCCATGTTTTCATTAAACTATGCATTTTATCTTGGTATATCACCTTTTGTTCACAAGGCGCCACATCATATGTAACTCTAACTCTGCATAACCCCTGGCAGCCCAAAAACCTTGCAAGGGAAGGTAACAAATCAATAAGGATCTGAGCTAAGAACAAACCCTTGCTTTTCTGTAAGGCCACATACACCCATCAAAACACAGATTTTCATTTTTTTCTCTGAAAGACAAAAAGCAGAGTAAAGATGCTATGCTAAATAGCATGAGACTGAAGGGCAGGTTTTCAACTTTTGTTTCAAGCATGTATAGATCTTTCCCTTTCTACTGCTGTAAGGCCTTTTGTTGGAAACGGAAGTCAGTAACCAATATTTTCCTCTCGCGATTTTTCAGAGCCGTGGAGATCTGACTGCTGAGAACGTGAACCAGTGTGTGCTGGAGATGATGATCGCTGCTCCTGACACTCTCTCTGTGACACTCTTCTTTATGCTAGTCCTGATCGCAGAGCACCCCACAGTGGAAGAGGAGATGATAAGGGAAATTGAAATTGTTACAGGTAAGCAACAGCTGCCCACGCTGTGATGCTGCAATACAGTTTTGTTTCAGCAGTGACCTGATTTCCAGAAGGGGAAAGGGCTTTTGGAGTTTTGTTACTGACAAGAATGCAAGACAGAGACTCATAATGCATAAAAACAAAGAGCTCTAGAGCAAATCATAGGTTAAGTTAGGACCTGGGCTAATAAGCAGTATACCAGGTTTCCCTGGTATGTGAGCCCATACCAGGCTACTTGGATTAGATCCTACATACCATTCAAAGAACTGACAGTCTTCCAAAAATGGTTTGTATTTGTGTGATGAAGCTGTGAAATCCATAAGCAACTTCTTTGTTATCTGTTTTATTCCTCAAGGTGACAGAGACATACAGAGTGATGACATGCCAAACTTAAAAATTGTGGAGAATTTTATTTATGAGAGCATGAGATACCAGCCAGTTGTGGACTTGATCATGCGAAAAGCTTTACAAGATGATGTAATTGATGGCTATCCTGTGAAAAAGGGAACAAACATTATTCTCAATATTGGACGCATGCATAAGCTTGAATTCTTCCCGAGGCCAAATGAGTTTTCTCTTGAAAACTTTGAGAAGAATGTAAGTTTTGTGTCTTTTCTCTTCTAGGAGATGGGGTATTGTATCTTCTGAAAAATCAATCTGTCTTATTTTGTTGAAGTGCCCAGTTAGCTATACAGCCTGCATTTTTATTGTTTCCTAAATGAAAATAAACATCCCATATGGACGGAAATGGAAGTTCTACTGAGTTCTAATCAGCTCAGTACGAAAGTGATGAGGAATTCAGTGACATTTCAGCACTTTTTCATATGGGTTCTATTCTAGGTTCCAACAGCACCAGATCTTGTTTTTAGCCTATAGTACTTTATTTGGTTTTGAAATCCTTTTACTATAACTCATCCTTCAGATTATTTTCTTTCATTCAGAACTTTGCTATTAAGTTTATTAACAGTTGTTTCCCAAAAATGTATTTGTATCTAAACAAAGAATTTGAAAATCATTTTGTTACCTGGCAACTTTTTTTCTTAAATGCACACATAGGTGTCCATAAATAATTATTTGTTTTAAATAAATAAAAAGATGACCCACTTTGATGCACCAAAAATGGGCTTAATGAAGAAATATTTAAGAGAATAAGTAAAATAAGAATAAACAAATGATGTGAATGTTCAGAAACACGCCTCTAAGTTTTACCATTTTCCTGCCAAAAGACACAGGTACCATTCATGCTACATGCACAGCCTGAACTAAAAGAAAAAAGTTAACATTTCTAAACTGCTAGCTGATTACCCACAGCAAATTGTACAAAGTACTAAGAACAACAAATCAGGAAAAAAGACATAAAATTCAGGAGGAGGAGAAGTGATTAAGTTTCATTAAGCTAACTATTCACTGTGAATAATTTCCACAGTTTTGCCCATTAATTTCATTCTAACTATTTCTATCAAAATAGATTTCATGCTTATTTTATATGCACAGTTGGCTGCTAAAAATATTTCCCCTTGACCAAATATTTTACAACGTATTTTCTATCTGACTTGATGTATTCTATCTGCCACATAATTATTCCAGCGGGCACAATTTCCACTCAGTTCTCTAAATGAATAGCAATCCACACCATTATTTATGATAAGATTGCATTGTTAGAATCTAAACATTTTTCCCTTTTCCCAGGCTGTGTCTTTGCCATTGTGCTGTATTGCCAGCTGCTATTCTGCTCGTTGTTATGAACCATTGTATTTACCTATTATTCACCAAAAAGCATATCTCAATTTGTTACTTGAAGTAATTTAAAGAGAGATAGCTTTTTCCTCAGACTGCAAAGAGGAGTAAAAAGAAAAAAAAAGAAAAAAAAAGAAAAAAAAAAGTACAACTCCGCTGAAGAATTCCATACAAAACAACTTTTCCTACAAAATTCTTGAGTTAAATAGAAAATGAAACAGACATAGCTAGTAAATTGCTCTTAAAAAAAATAAAATAATAAAAAAAAACACAAATGAAGAAAAACAATTTAGTTATAGCGAGACTTACTTTTTCTTACTCATAACAAGCAGCTTTCCTCTAACACTGTTCACACTCTTACAACTGCTTTGGAGAAAGGACCTATTCAAGAGCAGAAGGTGGCTCTGCATTCTTCAGTAGTTTTGAGGATCCTGCACTGGCATTTCAATCATTAGGACAGAAATTATAAACATTATCTCTGTATTTAGATGCCAATTAATATTTTCTTCCTTATATTTTATGGCAAATTAAATCACAGGCACACTCCATTTCTAGTGACAACGGTAGTACGGGTATAGTATGTATATAACTTTATAATTACCATTGGACAAGGTAGCAGTCTGTCTCAAATGTTTATAGACTTTGTAATGAACATTTTATGAACCACTTATGTTTTTAATTAACTTTAATGTATGTCAAAGCTACTCTCCATTTCTCAGCTTATGGGGAGACCCTTTGAAGTTCACTTGATGAACACAGTGAAATGCACATGCAGAATTCAGCTGCCTAACTTGACGTTTCCTGCTACCTAAGCATTGGAAACAGCATGTCTCTTCTATGCATTTCTGTATTTTCGTCTGACCTGCTTAAAAGGGGGTGTTCAAGCATGACGGGTAAGAAAAAAAAAAACAACAGTATGTGTGGACAAGAAACAACCCAGGAATAAGCAGCAAAGTAGTTACTCCAAAGAGGTTCTTCCCACAAATTTTCTCAGAAAATAGTAGAGACTTCCATCATAATTATGGCTATTTTTCTGAAGAACAATTTGTCTTAGAATTCTGTTCTTCATTTTATTCTATGCAGGTTCCTTCACGCTACTTCCAGCCGTTTGGATTTGGCCCTCGGGGATGTGTAGGAAAATTTATTGCCATGGTAATGATGAAAGCAATTCTGGTAACGCTTCTGAAACGGTGCCGAATTCAGACAATGAAAGGAAGAGGCCTTAACAACATCCAGAAAAGTAATGACTTATCCATGCATCCCAAAGAGAGACAGCCTTTTCTGGAGATGGTTTTCACACCAAGAAGCAGCACAAACAAGAATCGGGAGGTCTAAAGCAGATCATCAGTGGTGGGAAAGCTATAGGGCTTTCTCAGCCACAGCCAGATTATGAAATGGTCATTTTTCCTAGGTAAATATAAGGAGTAAAACATGTTGTTCACCTTAAGTCACTACTGCTCTAAGTGACCACCTGATCCACTTGCCCAGCAGAACCATGTTCTGGCCACAGCTTGAATACATTAAAGGATAAGCAGATTTACAAAAAGCCCTGTTACCTGCTGATGTTGCGCTGGATGCAAAATCCACTTGTACTTTTTACAATAACCAAGCTCGGGGCAAGTTTTGCCATGATTTTTCAAAATCACAAGGCCGGAAGTTTAGGAGTTATGGAAGCTACATACATATGTAATTCCAGGATTGTATTTTTTTTCCCCTTCCAAAGTCAAACCTAGAAGTAGTTGATTACTATAAAAGTTCTAATTGTCCATTTTCCAAAACATTTGAATGACCCATTCTAAAGTTGTCTTTAGGTCTATGAAAGAATTTCAAATACATAAAGCTATCATGCTAAAGCACAAGCATTAGCATATCTATAACAATTATTTACTTTTGCTAAAAATATTTACTATATTTTGTAATATTTACAATATTTTTAAGATATAAAAAGCTTGTACAAAAAGCCATTCAAAACATTATCACTACCATACTTTGCTATCATATTAAACAGATACACAAGATTTACTGTGTTAGATATACTTTAGCAGTAATAGTAATTTTAAGAATGCTAAGGAATATACAAGTGGAAATAACTGTTCCATGTTCCTAAAAACTCTAACCCCAGAGTCGTGCACAGAGGTTCTGTCACTACCTTCCCTCCACACTAGTGAAGACCAGCTGAGACTGAGGGCACGGTTAGGAAACACCACGGCCACTACTGCACAGGAATGAGTGCCCACAGCTCTGCAGTAGCTGGTTAGCTACAATCCTCCTGTCTCACCTTGCTTTGAGGAGAGAAGTTCAAGTTCTCCCTAAGCTTCCCAAGTATCACATTCTGTTTCCAGCTGGTTTAAATCGCTCAATTCTACTTCAGAGAGTGAGATTTAGGTTGGCAGCCTCCACTCCCACAAACCCCTCCCCGCGCTATAGCAGGAGGGAAAGTGCCTCCCTAATTATGCACATTTTGCTTCTCTGGAAAATCACCGCGTATATTGGTATCTTGCTCCTTACTCGCTGAATTAAACAGAGCCAGTAGTATAAAAGAGAAACATAAAGGTCTATTTATGTAGACTTACCCATTTTTTAAAGGTCAAAAGGGCTTCACTCAGCTAGTGAAGACACCAGTCTTGAGGGGTAGCTGCTCAGAGCTTTTTAGCAGCAAAGGAGCAGAGTTCTAAAGTAATAAGGAGATTTAAAAAAAAAATAGAAAAACATAAAAGAATTTTACATACACAGTTTTTAGTGATTATTATTAGGCTTAACATTAGACTTGGTTCCTAATGGATCACCTAAGCAAAAACTTACATTTCTCCTAACAGACCTCTCTTGGAATCTTTCTGATTATTTCACAATTAAAAAAAAAAAAAACCACAGTGAGTGACAATTTACTCTCCAATTTTTACATCTCATAATTACAGATTCCATGAGCCATTTTTTTCTCAAATTATTAAACTACTCTTTGTCAGTGAAATTTTAAAACAATTATACAAAATCATGTAGATAGCTGGAAAATGCATGCTGCTCTACTCTCTTTTTAACACCATGTATTGTAGAATTTATCAGTTGGAACTTCAGAAACATAATTACTGTAATTATTCTATGGAAGAAACAAACCAGTTTCATTTTTTTTACTTCTTGTAAGCAAGCATGAAAAATTATTTTCCATCATATTCTGTCCAGTTTGTTTCACAAAGAGTGAACCTCAAATGCCCACAGTACCTTCTGTCACATTTGAACTTTGGACATGTTAAATTAAGGCCAGTTCTTACTGCCTATCATGTGTGTTAAGCAGGGGGTCTATCTAAATGAATATTTGTATTGTAAGGCCCAGTTCCTCTTCCCGTACGTTTGAAAACTCCAAGCAGTGAAACAGCAGTTGAACACTTGCCGTACTGTACATAACGGAGCTCTGATTTTAAGTAGTGTTTTATTATCAGATACTGTAAAAAGTTAAGTGAGTTTTAGAACACCATCGAGCCTATTATCCTTCAGTGACTATTTCTATTCATACAGATCAAACTTGGTAACTGTTTTATACATCACTGTGATTACAGATGAGTAGCCTGTAAGTGTGGATATGTTGAAAAATAAAATAATCATCAAATAAAACCTGTATGCACAAATCAAGTCTTAAATTATTTGTTTTACATTTTCCCAATGTAAATTTACCCCAAAATTATTTAAATGAGTATGTATGAGTATGTATGAGTATGAGTGCATAACCTGATGCTCAAAATATCAGCTACAATGGATGAAATACCAGAACTCTTAGACAAATTTCCCATCAAGTTTACTAAATCTTGAATTGCACAGATATTTTTATTAGTAGCATGAATACAGCAATAGATTAACTAGCTTAAGTACATACCAGATTGCTTGGCCACAAATGCACTGTGGAATGAGCTCATCAACCTTTAAATAAGGCAGAGGAAGTTTCTCTAGTGCCTCTGAAGATGAGAGAGATCTGTAGATAGCTTAATAGTACAAACAGAGAAGGCTTGGCTTCCTGGAGGAAAAGAAAATGAAGTAATAATCATTTTATTTTCTACCTATTAACATGATGGCATATTGCAATTTTGACAAATTCAGTCATTCGACATGATTCTTCTGCCCTAGTCTTCTGCTCTAGTATTCTAAAGTATATATATATAAAAAAAAAACCTTATGCTTTTGTAGTAAGCTAAATCACTGTTAAAGCTGGCAATGTGGAAACAGATTTTACAAGATAAGTCTATTTAAAGCTTTCTGAATTAACAAAATAAATTTAACAAGATCTTATAAAGACAACAGATTTATGCACAGAAGTTAGTTTCATAAATTTCACAAAGGGTTATGAGTAATTTCACAAAGGGAACTTATGAGTAAATTTTGCACTCTGAACACAGTCCAGTAGGTGGCACACACAGAAAATTTATTCATGCAACAAGAACAACTTCTCTATTAGTAGTTTTTGTGTATCAGCAGGGCTTTTACAAGCCAGAGTTCCATGGTTTTAGTTAGCTATTAAACACTGCTTTAGGAAGAGGTTACTACAAACCAGAGTCACTGGATATGTAGATGTCAGGAGAAAATTAATGACCGATTATACAAATAGAGGGTACCAACATCATTATAATTAGTTTTAGCCTTAGATTATTCTTCTCAAACACCAGGTTTACTAGAGTTCTCCCAATCTACTTGACTGGACCTAGATGTATCCATCAAGATTGCTAGTAACCTGTGCTTTCTGATAAATTGTAAGGGTCTGTTCCATTTTAAAATATTTTTTAGTCTAATTTAATATCATGGGTTTGTATTAACTCATTTTCTCTCAATTTGATGTGCATATGATATTTTATTCTGTTACATGGCTAATTTTGTTCAGTGGCTCTACAGCTCTCTTTCATGTCCATGAAATATTACAATCTTTGAAGGAAAGTTGACTCGTGCCTTCTGGCTGATCCTTAAATGAGTAATGCAATGCTACACTTGGCCTCACTACTCTTCTACAATGGTTATAAACTCATCAGCCCAACAACTGACCATATCTTCATAATTAATCTTTAGTCTTTAAATAATTGCTGGACCAAATCAAGACCAGTCAGTTCAGGTGCAAAAAGGATACATTTGGCAGTACATGCACAACTCCATTAACAAACTGCTGATTAGCACTGAAAATACCTCCCTTGGGATTTTAATCACTTCATCCCCCTCTAGCTTTAAAGAGCTGATTAGCATCTACCTCAATGCTTTATGAATTTATTCTTACCTTGCAATGATATGTACAAGGAGTTGAATTTCATTCTCCATTTATCAGTCTTTGAAGGGTTCTTGGCAAGCAGTTATAGATCAAAACATCTATATTCAGAAATTGCATCATCTAACACCTGTAGTTATATTTGTATTTATATTCACCCTTGTTCATTCCAGCAAACATTAGAAGGATTTTTTTCAGCCTTAAATGATAGTTTGAGAGACATGAGAAGAGTATAAATTAGTGTTATCATAAGTATGGTGCTAACTGCATTAAGAAAATTGGCACTTAGTTCCATTTCAGAAAGCACACAATTAAATTTTGCAAAAGGGTTAGATTCAGCTACAGAATGAATATTAAAGCAGCTGCAAATGGATCTTTTTGTGTTTGATGGGAAATCAAAGGTTTTCAAATGAATTTTCACCAGCTCACATGCACAAGTAAAAATGAAACAAGTAAAAATGGACCTATATCAATCAATTTTTTAAATCTTCTTAAAAGAAATTAATACAAAAGATGATTAAATTATAATACAGAAATGTTATGAGAAATGTACAGAAATACATTTCATTGTATTAAGTCCCCCAAGGATCTCAAAGCACATTATGAAAACTAAATTTTCAAAACAGAACTTTACTTGCCACAGAAAGACAGGTTACGGAAATAAATAAATAAATAAATAAAAACTGTTCTTTAGCCCTAAAATTAATTGGCTGAAGGTCCCTTTATTCAGTTGGCAAACTTTGGTCAAAAATCTAGAACACTGGGACGTTTACCCAACTAAAATGCCTTTGCTTAGGCTCCAGGATACATGGCCTGAGGCTGCATCTACGGGGTGGTATACATGGTCTGAGTAAATATTCAATGTATACCAAAATTTGCCTAACCCTTCATGTAAACTGTATGACCTAACACTTTAGCAGAAGATCAGTAAAGAGCGGGTATACAGCAAAGGGCAATACTTTGGCTAGAGCACACAGTAAAACTCAAAGACAGCAGAAAATCACTGATTAATGAAGAAGGCAAGCTGTCTTACTGCAACTGTACCAGCGAAGCTGCACAGAATCTGAAGATGAGGAAGCAGATGACACCACTAGGATCAAAACCTCCTGGGGAGGACTTGGGCAACTAACTGCCTTCCTGTCTCGCGAATAACAGCCTTAACCCTGAGACTCTGCACATGACAAAGATAGGAGAACACAGCAATAGGGACATGTATAGCTTGCTTAATGCACTAGCTGTAGTGATCAAAGTTTGTTTATTATTGC